CTCTTATAGCTATCTATCCTTCTACCTATAACGAATTTATCGGCTATTTTATTCAAGCTCTAATAAAACACAAGCAGGAGAAGACTTAAAACCAGTTTTAAATGCTAATATAATTAAGGACACAAGCAATGCTTCTGCTGCCAGAGTGAGACCTAATAGCACCTGGACTATAGCATTTATCTTTATAGGGCTCTTCCAAGGTAACAGGGTAAATAAGACCAGGCCTGGTTTAATATAAAAGTTTTCACTATCATGAAGTAAGCGAAAGTTATAAAAAGAAATTGGAAAATCATAGCAACCCAAAGCTCTACATTGGGCATTCATGCAGATATTGAGTTACGTGGCTTTCCGGTCAGGCCACCCACATGCTCTTTATTGCTGTGCAGGGGCATGCGTTGAGGATGTTCATCACCCGAAGGAAAGCTCCGTAGTCTGACTAACTTACGAGTGTCGCGCCGGCAATAGAGAGTGTTATTCCAAAAAGATCTGCCTGGCCAAAGACTTTTCGTTAAGTAGTTTCAAGTTACAAACCCTACTAATTCTGTAAAGCTAGACTTGGTAATCACGGCGAATTCCTCCACAAAGCTCCAGGCTACCTATTTTCACTGCACGGTAAACCAACAAGTGGCAACTATGCGTGCCCAGGATTGTCCGTCGGCAGCCGCCCATTGTCTCTGACAGTAAGCATCACGCGGGGTAATGAGACATACATAAGGCAATAAGGCCAATGACGAGGTATGCGCGGCATGTGATGGCAGGATTGGACGCCACGAGTGGGGAGCTGAAAACTTGAAATCAATAGTCTGTGTAACCCCGGAATCTTTTTATTACTGTCAACCGGCCTGCGTTTTCCGCCTTGAATAGTAATGGAAAACCCTAGCCTTTGACTTTGTGTTTAAGTATTTACTCGATTATACGAACCAACCTTCTAATTCAGCCATTGCTTATTGACGTATCCAGCCAGATTATGACCTCTTATTGCACCTTACCCAGGCTTTGGTTGATAAAGGGAAGCTTTCGAGGTCGCATAGAATGGATGGTATCAACAGTGATTATATCACCGTCCACGAACTCAACCAGGACGGATTACAGGACCCCAAACTCATTTCCATTGAGGGATTTCTCAACGGAGGACTGGAAAGGTTTCGGGGCAATGATGAGATCAAGCTATGTTGGTTACACATCCCAGTGAACCATGTAGCATGGGCCGAGGTAAGAATACTCATCAACAGCTTGCGGAGAGGCCGAAGCTAGCATGTTAACCGATGTTGGGTATGTATAGCAATGTATACAGAGTTGGTGTAATGCAGCGGAAGAGGGCGGTATGGAGGATCTGAGAATCAAGCAACGCCCGTCTCTGCCGGAGCATGCAAGCATACCCTGGCATGCACGGCACATGGAACCTTCATGCAGTGCGAGCAAAGAGGCGAGGAAAATTGAGGAGAAAAATATCGAGTTTGAAGATGACGTGGCGCAGATGAGCCAAGTTAACAATCCGAAACAGCAACCATTACTTACACTCCTGGTATGTAAAGTACAAAACAATTTTTTGGCTGCCTCAAAAGACTGAGAAATAGTAGGTGCCTTATATGAACTGGGAGACATATGGGAACTTTTGTTCCCTACGCTCTAGCTATGAAGACTTACTAGGCTCTGCGAGGACGACAGAGCCAGCGAGGAGAAGCAGCGGACAGACTGGAGAGGAGTCTTTAGTCCAGTCTCTGAGTGACCATGAGAAATCGCTACACCCAAGACGAACCCTGGATCAGTTTTATTACCCATCTTTGAAAGATACGACCGGCAGAGATCGAGATCAAACAATTTCGAAATGGACCAGTGATAGTTCCCACGGAGCAGAAGATCGACACGAAGTCAAAAATGATAGTCGAATGATCATGGTCGACCAGCTGTGGTGCTGGGTGCTTGACGACAGTAAGTGACTCTCACTTTATGATATAAAACGCAATTGCTAATATCAATACGTGGCGGTAGAAACTATGTTGTCATGCTTTCCTTCCGGGGATTTGCAGTACACGAGTGAGGGTAAGTATATCGACCTCTACACCAGTATACAACAGAAATGGCATAAAGAGAACAATATCTGGGACGCATATAGTACTGTAATGAAAGAGGCATTCACTTGTCTCTTCTGTCAGGGAAACAAAAGGTTCATTGACCTTGTTGAAATTTATCGATGGGTGATTAGCGACAAGGTTAGTCCCTTCAGTATCGCGGACCTTTTTGGAGCTCTATGCTAACTGCAATTTGGTATCAAGGCCGCCAAGCAAACTACCTATTTTCAAAGCTTTAGCTCAGCTCGTGAAGTAGGTGAGCTTAGCTCTGAGCATCTCCACGGTCACCAAGAACTAGCGCTTGTTCTTGAGATTGCTGATATTATTGATGAGCTCAATATGATGCGCCATCTGATCCAGAAGCAAAGAGAAGTGTTGAAGTCTCTAATATTGGCCATGAGAATACTCAATCCTGCGTCAGACTCAAAAACTGACCGGACAGGGGTGATGTTCTCGATAAACGAACCCGTTATCTCTGGTAATGGTGCAATAAACGTTTTGACCAACCACCATGACGGTCTCACAGATCTGGCGGACTCAATAAAGATCTTGGCGCAAGGAATCTCGGGCAGATCTAGAGACATCGTCATTTCTACCGATGACGACCTTCTCGCCATCTACACCGAATTGAAAATCATGAAGGAAGACGCAGAATATAACCACAAGATGGTAAGTGATACCGTTGAGTAAGGTACTGTAACATTGCGTTGCCAAAGACAGTGTATGAGGTTTGCTCTACAACGTTTAGAATTGGAAGACGCCGGCTTAACATTACATACACACTTTCCTGCGGGCGTTACATTGACTGACATCTTTTATTAGCTCCTTGATTTACTAAACTTGATGCAGACTGCGGCTGCTCTTGCTGAAGCTCGGTCAACAACTCAACAGGGCCGCGCTATTATGCTTTTTACTATTGTAACCATCGTGTTTGTGAGTCTTGAGTTTCTGGCTACTTTACGATCGCTTATCTAACATATGGATACAAGCTCCCATTGTCTTTCTTTACATCATACTTCGGCCAAAACATCTTCGAGATAACTGGCGATGAGAACAACCCTCATGCTTGGGACTTGTGGCGATATGGCAGTAAGCAAATAACTTATTACTCCATATGCAGACTCTACAGCATGCTAACAGTGTAGCCCCTATAACTATCGTAGTTGTCATTCTTGCACCGCTTCTCGCCTACTGCACTGTCAAGCCTTGTTGGTCACTCAGGCGCACACGACGAAACTCCTCGGCCTAGGTATCCACGAGAGCTGCCTCGGTATCAAGCGACAGTGGTCAAGTCTTGTTAGTAAAGGGAGCGGGTATTGCTTCTGAGATTTTACGCATGTTATTAGTAGACTAGGCGATGGATAGTTAGAAGTCTAGACTTGCGTGTGCTCTGAGTATTGATTCTAGTGCGGGTATTCCTGGTCTTGTCCTTGGTATCCATGTAAGGTATTTGACAGAGACTTTAGTTTCTGAGAGGCGAGTTTCTGGAATAAAGTCTTGTGATGAAGTAAGGTATTCAAGCTACGAGTCACTCGAACGAAGAGGCTTAAAGGGACGCGAAACGCGAACTGAAATAAAACCCATAGTGCAATTTGGACCGGTTGCCTCTGCCATGAATATGGAAGGCACAGGGATGACCTAGCACAGAAGGAGAAGATCATTGCCTTCGACATAGAAGAAGCAGGTGTGTCGGTGCATCAGGCTTGTCTTTTTGTTAAAAACATCTCCGACAATGCAGAAAGCTACAAAAATAAGGATTGGCAAGGCGATGCTTCTCTGGCAGCGGGAGCCTGCGAGCAAAGGTCGTCATTGAATAGTGGTACCTCTCAGATAAGTCAAAATTGGAAAAGAAGGTATGCCAAAGATGAAACTGAGTGTTCCAGCTGCTCACGCCGATTGCAGGCTACACGCACCCAAAACGTAACTATTCGGGATATAACACAGGTGGCAGTGGCAGCACAGGAATCTATCATGCACAATACCACCTTGACCTTCGGCCACCGTCAGAATTAAACAACAGCCAAGATTACCGGTAATTGACTCAGGTGGTGCTGAGGCACTAAGAAGTACCATTTATCAATATCGAAGTCCCCAGAGCAATGTCGTTTAGCCACTGTCTAGATAAACCAAATTCTGGTAGAGATTTCAGGTGTCATGACAATGCGCGGACTGGTTAAGCTACGGACATGAAGAACCAATGTCTGCATGAGCTTAGTGTATCCTGATGAAGTAAAGTAAAGATAAATCTTATTAATCCGATAGCTCGGCGATCTGTACAACTCCGACTCAACCACCAAGAACTAATTAGATACAAGAACTCCAAGTGTTTCATGTGCTCATCCCACGAGAGCGAGGGCAAGAGGGAGGGCGTACATGAGGACCTCGCCCACCTTGAAGCTCTTGCCAACGTTGTTGGTTTGACCGTCGCTGCCGGAGACACTTGATGGTGTTGAACCCTCGTCGCCGGTGCCCGAGGCGCTCTCAGAAGCACCTCCGCCTGAGCTGTCGCCGTCGCCTGAGCCACTTCCGCTTCCACCGCCACTACCGCCACTACCGCCACTACCGCCACTACCGCCACTACCGCCACTACCGCCACTACCGCCTCCGCTGCCACCACCACCAGAGCCGCTATCACCAGAGTCATCACCATCATCCCCAGAACCTCCACTACCACCACCAGAGCCACCACCGCTCCCCCCTCGACTCCCCCCGCTAATAGCACTCCTAATATTCGCATCCTGAATCGTAACCTGCACAGGTTTATCCCCCGCCTTATGAATAACATTAACCTTCTGATCCAGCGCAGCCTTGAACTTGTCACTCGAAATACTCTCCTCTTCATCCCCAGTCCCCAAAAGCTCTTTATCATAGATGGTCGAGCCGTCAATGAGCATTTGTAGGCGATTGCCGGACTTGACGCCTTTCTTGAGGTCTGCGATCTTCACGGAGAGCACGACGCGTACGTCTTCACCCTCGGGGACGTCTTCGTCGCTTGTGGGCGGGAGATCGCACTTTGCTTCGGCGTTGGGAGGGGGTTTGAGAATGCTGATGGAGTTAGTGTTTTGGGTATAGGAAGGGCTGCTGGGAGTCTTACACGACAGTTTTGTCGCCTGCGCCTTGGAACTGGGCATAGTCGCCCAGATCAGCTTCTTCTAAATCAATCGCGTAATCCTGAGCAGGCGACGTTGGCGCAGCGCCCTTGGAAGTAGCGAGGGTAGTCTTCTCCTCTTTGCCTCCACTACCTGTAGCTGCAGCTTTGCGGGTTGTTCCATCAGCGGTCTGTTCACTATCGCCCGTCTGCTCGGCTTCACCCCCCTCAGTCGCACTGGGAGCATAGTAATAATTACCGTCGTCATCAGTCGTTTGTGCATCGCTATTCTCAGTCTTCGTCGGTGCTACAAGGTTTCTGCTCTCCTGCTGGGTTGACTCTTCTGGTTCAGAGTCAGCGGTTGGTTCTTCGGTCTCTTGATCCGATGGCTCTTCGGTCGTCTGCGGAACTTGGTCGTCTGCGGTGTCGGATGCCAGAGGGGTTGCCTCTGGCATCCGACACCGCAG